ACAAACCACAATAATATATTAATTTGGTCCACATTAGTTCACAAATCAAGAAGGCAAGTAGGCAAATAGGTTAGGTAAACTAATAATATAAGTATATAACAAGATTACAAGAAGTGAAGATGAAGAATACAAGACCTAACACACCGTTGCCGTTGCCGTGGAGCGGTGGAGGTCGCCGTTGCCGTGGGCCTGTGGCCGTGGGCCTGTCGCAGTCGCCGACTCGCCGTCGCCTGTCGGGAGAGAGCAGTGCAGCTGCAGCGCCGTGCGTGGAGACTGGAGCGGCGGAGGACGGAGGTCCTGGAGGTCTTGGAGAGTTGGAGTTGGAGGAGAAATGGTCAAATGGAGATATCAATTATCAAAGCAGATTAGGGATTTAGGAGAAAATGTGTGGAGTGTGGACTGGGCTGGAGTAATTAGTAAGGATGCATTCATTAATATTTTTCAGCTCAAAGCCCAAATTTTTACAAAACATATATATATAAAACGGGTACGGGGCGGGGCGGGGAGTGCTATACCCGTCCCCGGCCCCATCCCCGGATTGCTTTAAGCGGGGATCCCCGTCCCCGTCCCCGGACCCGATTTTTCGGGGAATCCCCGTCCCCGATCGGGGCGGGTGGACCGGGTTACCCGACGGGTCGGGGTCCATTTCCATCCCTATTCAAGAGTGGACTAATTAATGAACTGAAGCTAGTGAGTGTAGGTGGTGCCTTATATCTGACAAGGAATATGAATGGGTGTAATTTTGGTAACATATTAGCAACGTTTGAATGTTAAGGGGTATAAGGCTGCTGGGTGACACAGACCTGCCAAGCTGACTCAACTTTCAGTATCCATACTTTTTGACTAGACCAAAGTTGGAATCAACCCTAGCATAGTCGAGTAGGATTGCAGTCACCTATTTTTTCATTGAATTGAGTTGAACTGGCCATCCAATAATCAGCTGGTTGGATACAAACTTGTTTTACTTGGATTCAGCAGTCATAGCTCAATTTGCTACTATCCTACCGAACTTGAAACATGCATAGCTTTGAAGTTGAAGTCATTTGAATGGTCTCCTTGCAAAGGGATTGTAATGGCTCTTTTCCCCTTCTAAATAAATGAGTTGGATTCCTTCGTTGTTAACCAATGTTTAAATGCCTATTTAGTGCTTAGATGATGATGGAACAGTGGACCTCAATCATAAGGAGAGGGAAGTATGTAATTTTTTTTCCTGTCTCGTGACTAGAGTGGGATATGTTTCTGCTATTGCTCAGGTGGTGTGGTAAGTTGAAGGAGGCTATTTGATCATTTTTCATTCTGGTGATGCTAAGGCCAAAATGCCCATTGAAGGATGGGATTATAATGCAGTCTACTGTGAGTGAGACTTTGGAAGAGTTTGCAATTTGGTGATACAATAGTAAAATGTAATTATGATCCTTCTCATCATGCTTTTCTATGTTGGGAAATAACTCCTCGATGCTAGGGCCTAGACCACTTTATAGTTAGTTAAGGCGGTAAGATGCCCACCTTCACTTAATGATTAAGTAAAAAGAAATCGTAGTCTTGTGAAGATGCAGAGAGTAGCAATGGAGACTATGATATTAATAGTAGGGTTCAATCTGTTAGTTTTCAAGGCCCAATCCTTCCCGTTTGTTTATACTCTAGTTATCTGCTCTTTTCTGGGACGGTTTTCTGCTTTTTGTGTTTTGTTTTTAATTTTCTAAGGTGAACCTTATCTTATCCATCTTAGGTTTTTTGGTTAGATGCTCATGATAGTTGTACAATATAATTCTTAATTTGTGCCAAATGCATGCAACTAAGAAATATATCTTGCATATTTGTTGTTTTGCAGGAAAAGATATGAGGATTATTATATTTTCTTTTCGTCCTCGAACAAAACAGGTAAATTATGATAATTGCACTCCTACGTACCCATATTTTATATACACTGCAACTTGTACTAAGATCCATTACTTGAACCCTTGAGGAGAGGAAACTATATATTTATTTAAGAAATAAATCATTCATGATGCTGCTTCCTTCCACATCTTTGGGCCCTATTGATTCCCACACAATAAGGCTATTGACTCTCAGTTATTGATTACTGTGACATTATTCCGTGTCATTCTGAAACACTTCAAGGTTTACAAGAGTGGCACGCTTAGATTTAACAGAATTTGTTTTTACTTAATTAAGTAGGATTCTGGTAAATAAGCATTTTGGTATGGGAAGGGTGGTGTAACAGATAAGGAAAAAGAAAACAGTTCTTTCAAGGTGGTTGACTGAAATCTTGCCACCATGGGACAGCCGCCTTGCCGGCGTTGACATGGTACATATTTTATGTGCATATACTCGTAATTCCTGCAAAACAGCCGAATCACCTCCTGCTGATCCCAGCTTTCAAATGGCAAACATTGAAATTGTATGGACTGGCAAGGTCATTAGCATGCAACTTTCTGCCATTAAGTGGTAGTTGATTTTTTCACGTTATGCTCATTGTGCCATGAACAGACTTCTCTTCCCTTTTCTTGTTCTCCCTATCACATCCTCATTTGCACTGAAAATTCTCATGGCTAGTTTGTTATTCAAGTTGGCTGTAACTTGGTTTGTTTGCTCATTAGGTTAGGTGAAAATATAGAGGCCATGCCCTTTCATATGTTGCATTATTATGAAGTATCGGAGATTAACTTGACATTAAATATGGATGCAACATATATTAGCAGGGTCATTAGTTGAACCAGCTCAGATGCACTTCTGCCGCCCCTACTCGGCTCATTTACATATTGACTTGCTCCAACTTGTTTACATGCTCGGCTCATCTCATCCCAGCTTCTCTACATACATAACTTGTCCTAATTTGGAGGATAAAAGACAAAATAATATTGGTTATAACACAAATTCATTGATTGACCGACTCTTTTTTCATGTTTTGAAGTATTCTTGAGTGTGATTGGTTTAAAAATGAAATTGAACTGTTCTGAATTGTTGAAAGCTATGAATTTTAATTGAGTAGCTTTAACCTTTTAAGACAACAAACCTAACAGTTAGGTTTGGTTTCTCAACAAATCTTTATGATTTATATTAGGTTGCAGTAAATGTACATGTTGTAGGAGAAGATTTATTCGTCATGGTGACCTTCAGATATGTCATATGTAATACCTGTATGGATTACTTGCGCAAGTGTTCATATGATGAGTTTTTCAGTCATCGTGTAAAATTGTGTGGCTGATTGTTTCAGAGTTTGAATTGATTTTGCTTCTAACACAGATTCCTTGTTCATTTGCTTTGTGTCACCTTGTTCATAGCGTTCCTTTAGGCCCTTAATGTTGTTTTCTGCTCCAAGCTTTTGATTAGTTCTGTATATGGATTGAGTCGTTTTGTGAATGAGCTAAGTTGGGAGCATGGTTCAGCTAATGACCCAGATAGTAAACGTTGCCTGATTTAGGTTGGGCATCTAGACTTAAATTTCTGTTCTTGGATACATTTAAATCTTATTGATGGCATATTTTATATGCTCATGATTATGTCAGTACTCTCTCTGTGATGGTCTTTGTTTGAGAGGTTTTTGCATTATTTTGTACCCCATAAGCTTTTAGGAGCCAAATGTGTAAAGCGAGGTGTTATATATCTTAAGTCCTTGTTTCTGGATTGTACATTCCTGTTCTTATCTATTTTCTCTTCTGCCTTCTATGACTAGATTAATTACGATCCTCTTGTGGTTTAGGTAAAGATGATCAAATACACATGAACACTTTCTTTATGGTTTAGAATGTAGAAATACAAATGTTTGTAGCATGTATATCTCCATGTTTTTAATTCTTTTTCTTGATTAATTTTGTGCGTCAGTCACAAAGCTTTATTACGTTAAGACCTGTAACCATATCATTAATGCTAAGATCACCTATCATCATTAGGCATTCATTTAACTTGAAGACTGTACTTCGTAATATTCAGATATTTACCAGCAATTTTGTTCTATAATATTTAACAGTTATTTGAAATTCTATATTCTATTCTTTAATATATTCATATTAATTATGAATAGCGAATAAATTATTGCCTACTTGTCCATCATGCGAGCAGAGTGGTAGCTAGCTTTGTTTTCCAAATCATGAGTTAATGTCGGTATCTTGTGAATTTTGCAGAGACGTGCAGTCTTTGAGGCATTACTTAGGTGTGCCAGGCCTGTAAGGCTTTGGGATATGTATACTTTTTCTTCCGGCCCTTCAAGATTCAGTAATAGCAGTCCTAGAGTGCGGCTAGTGAATGAATACTTGCGGCTCCTTGGTATGGAATCACATCATTCTGACATAAGCACCATCGAAGATGGTTCTTTCGAAGCGTCTAATGACTGGTGGAGGATTAGCGACGTCAATGCAAATTATGACATGTGTGCAACTTACCCGTTTTCTTTACTAATACCAAAATCCATTAGGTGGGGAATGTTTTAGTTCTGCTTCTTTTTCTCACTTTTCAATGATATCAAGTTGGAATATGATATTGCATTAGTCTACTACAGCATGTGAGTTCACCTCATCACCTGTTTGTTGATTTCAGAGATGAGGATGTGCTGCAAGCTTGTAAATTTCGTGCCCGGTGTAGATTGCCTGCAATATCATGGTGTGATGCACGTAAGTACTGGATTTCAGTAGTCATTACAATTTACATCGGTTAGCTGCCCACTGCTTTCTTTTACCACTTTTTTTTTGGTTAAATATACTATGTACTCAATTAAGCCTTTTGCAATGAAATTAGTAAAGTCAGTCTGTATCCAGTAGAAGAATGAAAATCTTGTTGGAACCATCTCTTGACATTGTCTACTTGTATCTGGTGTTAACACACCTCCCATTTGTTTCAATGATGTGTAGGCACCGGAGCTGTCCTTGCACGATCATCTCAACCATTAGTTGGTCTGATGATGAATATGAGAAGGTAATGCTAACTTTACATGTCAAGGGTGTTCCTTAGATGGATCTAACTTACACTACCCCTGAATGCCTGGAGTTTTATTGAGTCTCTTATAAGTATTTCTCATTTGGGAAAAAAACATCTTATAACAACTTCAATGCAGTAATGCTGATGAGAATCTGGTTGGTGCTCTCTGTACTCAACTTTCTGGTGGAAAGGGAGGACGGAGGTAAAACCCTTGCACTCTTCAATGTGTCTTCTACTATTTTGCAATTTGATATTTGAAATTTTGTTATGATTTCACCCGTATGCTTCTCTTTCTTTCTTTACGTTTTCCCTAGATTTCACCTTTTCAGCTTTCTTCGGTTGATGAACAGTCCCTATTTCAGTTTCTTTATAATGCTCTTGCAATGGATCTGTAGTTTACCTTCTGTATCTATTTGGATCTGATGTGGATTTGGTCTAATAAAATGAAAATTCTTTCTCTAGGAAGTTATATATAGCTGATGCGAGACCCCGGAAAAATGCCTTGGCAAATGGGGCAATGGGAGGTGGTTCAGAGTCATCTTCTAATTATTTCCAGTCTGAGGTCTGTCAAAGGTTTGAGCTAAATAATGTGTTCGTTTGTCATGTTAGTCTATCAGTTTTAAAGTGCTAACATTGTATTTTTCTACATATGTTTAGATTGTATTCTTTGGGATCGATAATATCCATGCCATGAGGGAGAGTCTTGTTCGTCTCAGGGATTATCTGGATACACATGGAACTAAATCATCAGATGGAATGTCGTCATTCTTGGTATAGTCTGGACTTTAACCCATGAATATAACCTTATCTGCAGGGAGTTTTTTAGATCTCATGTTATATGATTAGGAGTAATGAGAGTTGGGTAGCATTTCCTAATGTTGATAGAGGTTGGTTGTAGACTTATAGCTAACATTTGAGATGGGTTTGATGCAAATAACTGGGATCTAGTTATTCCTATGGACAATCAGTAATTGTTCATTCTGTCATGTAGGGTCAATGTTGTAGGTACAATTGTCTTTCAAGCTGAATCATGTCCATAAAAAACTAAGCCTTTGCCTGTCTTAGAAAATGCTGAATTAGGCGCAATAATTTCTGAGATTCTCTCTGCTTGATGAGGTCACATAGCATTTAGACTGTCAAGTGTTCACCACTTTCATGTTAATGCAGTAAGCATTCTGTCTGTTCTCTGCACCCCCACCTCACTTTGACAAGTGATAAGTATTACAGTGGCTGAGTAATCTTCATAAGGGGGTGAAACGCCCTGCATTTTCTCATTTAAGAAGAGGAAATACATTCGTGCTTAATTAAATATTCAGAGGTCCTAGTAGACTGATTTTTATTAGGGACCGTGTTAAAGTACCAATAGGAGTAATTTTTGTTCCAAAATTTCTCTTAGTGCTGTCCTGAAATAATTTTTTTTCTTAAAACAGAGACATGGTGGATGGACCTGGGGTGGAGGTAATCTCAGCAGTATGTCTGCTTCTGTATCAACCCTTGGTGACAGTGGTTGGTTAATACACATCCAGAATGTACTGGCTGGCTCTGCTTGGATTGCTGCCCGTGTTGCAATGGAATCGGCATCTGTGCTTGTTCATTGCAGGTAGAAGTCATTACCTGCTCTTTCAACTTGGCAGATCTTTCTATGTGTATCCAAGGCTTTTGATATCTTAACAAATAAAATTTTCATGTGATTTTCGCAATTGTATTTGAAAGTTCCTACAACTTGCCAGGGTTGTTTTTACATGTTCTTATCATTTATGTACATGACTATGTGCCTAGGGATTGGAATCTACTTCCGGGCTTCTATTATACTAAAAGTCAGTACATTTTGCTTTTGCCCATTTTGATATCTTCGCTTCTCAAGCAAGAGGGACGCCTTGAGTGAAGATTGCCATTTGTGCCTACATTAAGTAGTACCTTCTCTTACTATAGATGATAGCACTTCCGAATCCCAATTATTGCTGACATGTTTCCAGATAACAATATCTTAGTCGTCTTGTCTTCCCTGTCACCTTGCTTTTAACCATATTCTGTAAAACTGAAATTTTGAGAGCTACAACGTATGCAAGAAAAAGAGACTGTTTAGTTCTAAAATTTGAGTCATAGTCATTCGTTTGATTGTCGACTCACCTCTGTTTCATAGCGATATGCTTCTTTCTCCTATCAAGTTCTCTCTTTCTGCCTAATGCTTCACTTGTCATAAAAAAACAGATGCTGAACCTGTCCTGTTGCGACTTGTTCATCTTTATGCAGTTTGTTCATGACTTTAAGCTATTATTCTATTTATTTCTGCGTTGCTGTTGCAAATGGGTTATTATTTCCTTAGAAGCAGAAATATATCATCTTATACAGCAACATGTAATTGTGTTGTACAGTGATGGATGGGACAGAACAACCCAGCTAGTCGCCCTAGCAAGTTTGTTACTTGATCCATATTACCGCACCATAAAGGGATTTCAGGTACTGAATGAAAATACTTTGGTCTGATATTTACTTTGTTCGTAGTTGTATTTTCATTCAAGACATAGGATATGTAATTATGTATCTTGTCACCAAATGAAAAAGGAATTCTCCTCGTCTTTTTGAAGTATCATTGTTAATGTTCTTAACGGAATTATTTAAGGACCCGTTTACTAAATGCTTACGGGGTAAGCGCTTATCAATATTACTTACGTTACCGATTGAGCATGACAATAAGCAATAATCTTACCGGTAAGAGGCATAACAAGGACCGAGGGTCTTACCCGGTAAGTGAGGAAAAAGACTCTTACCTGGTAAGTGCTTACCGGGTTTAAGACGCTTACCATCAATCTTTTTTAATGGCCGAGAATGTTACATGATAAGGTAAGTGAGGGTAATTTTTCTTGTTGGTAAGTGCTTACTCGCTAAGCGTTTGATAAACGACCCCTAAGTATTGGTAACTAATCCCCTTTGCAGGCGACACAAATAGTATCGTTTCTACAAAAACCTATTAACAATTTAAATGCACTGAATGAAAGATGGTATGAACTCCTTTCGTTGAATTAGTTTTTCTGGCAACATGACTCCCAATCCATTTCTTTGCTTGCTGCATCTACCAAGAATTTTGTTTTATAGGTTTTGAAGGCATTAAGCTATTGACCCTTTCTGTCAGTGCGTTTTTTTTCCTGAGGGTGAAACTATGTTTTAGTATCTCATATGCTCGGTCCTGCTGAAGTTATCTCTTTCATTTCTATTTTCATGCAGGCTCTTGTGGAAAAAGATTGGCTTGCTTTTGGCCATCCATTTTCTGACCGGGCTGGAATGCCAAACTTAACAGGGAGTGGTTTAGATTTACCCAGGCAGTCTTCAAGTTCAAATTTCCCATCATCACCTATACGCCAAGCACCTGGAACATTCCCATCCCAATCTTCTGCGTCTTCTCAGACACAAACTTCAAACAATTATTCTCCAATATTTCTTCAGGTGGGTCTTTTTTGATATGTCTAGCTTCTTTTATATTGATTCTTAATCACCTCTGTATATATTTTGTATTTATTGACAGTAATAATGCTACCTGTAGTCCTGTACCAAGAAACGTCATGATAAAGAAATGCAGTTATTAGGAAAAACAAATGCAATCCTCTTTACTCCTTCATATCTGTCACTCTCTGTGGTAATTGTGAATTTATACAAATGTGCTTAATTGCATAACTGTAGAAGGCTCTTATTGTGTGGTATTGACCATCTTTCCATCGTGGATTTCTGTCTTTAGTGATAGCTTTTTGATTATCATCCATTTAAATCACGTGTCTCCAAATGTATCCTTTGTCCAACTATATAACCATGGTGGCATAAAAAACCAGAACTAAATCAAAAATCAACATCACAACAGGGCTTTAATTCTAGTATTTTCCATAACCCTCCTCTAAGAGAAGCTTGTACATTAGATTACGTTCTCAAATCAGTAACTCCCACTGCATGCCAAAGTGGCAATTGGCTTGGCCCCCAACACTTTATGGCAACCACCGATGTTACAACCGAACTCATCATTTTTCATCCTTTCCGAAGAGGTGTATATATGAGGAGAAGAAGTGTACTAACTCATTCTACATAAAGCATATGTGGTGAGTTTGGTGGTAACAGTGATGGATGCTATTTTTTGCCCTTATTAAGGTAATTGCTATGCTACTTGTTTGTGAAGTTATAACCATTTCCTTGGGGGTTTACTGATTAAAAGATTATTTTTCCAGATGTACCTTTTTTGTGAGGTTAAGAGAATTGTTAAAGCACCTGATATCGTTTGTGATTAAAATGTCTATGATGATTATATTGAACCTGTGCATTTGTGTTCCTTTTGATAGTGGATTGATTGCGTCTCCCAGTTATTGCGAATGTACCCTTTTGCATTCGAGTTCTCATCGGTATGTATTTTTCATCCATAAACTATGTATTTTCCGACATATTTCTTCACTGCCTTTGTCAAAACAGACCATTCATTGTCTTCGACCCTTAATGGGGTTTGCAGGCATTTTTGGTTCATTTTCTAGATTGTATGCTTTCTTGTCGTTTTGGGAACTTCTTGTGCAATAGGTAAGTATATCATTAAGTTTATATACCGAAATATATATGGGTTATCAACAGTTTTCAACCCTAAAGACTTGCATCTTAACTTTCAGTGAAAAAGAAAGAGAGCAATATGGTGTTTCTGAGGCATGTGGATGCTTGTGGATGTATTTGGATGATTTACGTGCTTCAGGGGGACGTTCTCATGTGCACTACAACCTCTTCTATGATCCGTCTAAACATGATGGTCCTTTATTGCCGCCGGCTGCTGCTTTAGCACCGACGTTATGGCCTCAATTCCATCTTAGGTGGTCATGTCCTTCTGAAGCTCAATCGGGGGAGGTTGAAGCTCAATGTAGGATTATGATGGAGCAGATCTCTGAACTTCAAAAGGTAATTGGCATGCCTCTTTAAATGTTCCTGTTCTGAATTTCTTCTAGCAATCCCTCTTTTAAGTTTTTATATTCATCACTGTTGCCAGCTGCTTTATTTGATTTACTCGCTCCCTCCAAAATAAGTGTCCACATTTCTATATTAGTTTGCCCAAAATAAGAAAAAGTGTGCACTTTCAAAAGGTAGTACCTACTTTCCAATTCTACTCTTATTATGAGATGGAGAAATTCACAACTCTTATTATTAATGTCAAAAATGGCAAAACGAATCAATTTAGGTAGTCCTTTGTGGTTCCGGTGGCGACTAGATCAACGTGTATGCCATTTAGTTCATTAAAAGTGTAATAATTACATATTTCAAAAAATGTGTGCATTTTTTTTGGTTGTGGATAATTATTTTGGGACGGAGGGAGCAACTCACTTTTAGCGACAGTGGACAAGCACCATGCAGTAGGTTTGGAAATTTTAGTAAGATATTTCGCATCTTTTATCGTAAGTGTGAGCTAAATGGTGACAAATACTTGAAGCCTACAACAAAAAGCAACTGTTGAGGTCCCCAGAAATCACCGTGTGGATCCTCCAACGACTAGATTTTTTTGTAGTAATTTTCGTAAATGATGTGGAATGTTGCGGTTCCATAATTTGTGATGTCACCAGTCTCTATTTAGATAGGCAGCACTAATCTTAAAGAAATAGCAGCTGTGGTTCACATCGTACACCCAGACTGGTCAATTTTCTCCCACTTTTTTTCCTTCACATGCACATCCCCGGCGTCGGTTGTCCATTGAGCAAACTCTATTGCAAGTTCACTTTCCGTTTTTACTTCTTAAACTACCCAAGGAATGGGTTCATTGTAAAACTTGCATTCTTCTCTGGTATTCATATATCATCTTTAGAATCTAGTCATGTCCATATTAATCATCACAGTTCATCTATAGAATTTGGTCTACTGGAGGGGGGGTTTTCATCTTTGCCAGAGGCCAATAATGAATATATTCACTCAACCTGAAAATCCAATTTTTTTTACAATAAGCCAATTTTAACTGGTAAATTGATCTTTGCGAAATACTTGAGAGTAAAAGTTCCGTTGGCTGATTAGAGAACATTCTATTTCTAATGGGAATTTGTTGATTGACGAGTTAGCATAGGATCTTAGTTCAAGAAAATGTAAGCATACATATAGGTTTATTGAGCTCCACAAACTTTTTAATGTGTTGAAGGCACACGAGTCATGGTTATCCAAATTTGGTCGTGCTCATTTAATTTTTCCCTGAATTGTTGCATTTTGGTAATATTAACAGGCAAAGGACGTGGCTGAGAGAAAAGCCCGAGAAATGATTTCAACAATGGAGGCCATAAAAGTCGAGATACGCACTGAGAAGCAGACTAGCAGCTCGGCCATGAATTTGGCAAGAAAAGCCAATCGGGAAAACGAGATCATAAAACGAGCAATACAATCGCTCGGCTGCAGAATTCAAGTATCAGGGAACGACGATTGTACAATCGACATTGAAAGCAACCTAGGTGATCTACCACAGAGAATAACATCTTCTCCTTCAACAAGAGATTCAGCAGATTCCAATGAAGAAAAGACGAATATGTCCATCTCTGTTACCTTAACACCCGATAGTAACGATGACATTCCAGGGAACCCAATCCTTCGAGTTTGTGAATCTTTGTGCCCGTTAAGGACACGAGAAGGAGGGTGTAAGTGGCCGGATGCCGGTTGTGCTCAACTGGAGAGCCAATTTGTAGGTTTGAGAGCTAACTATGATGCATTTGACCGGCTATCGATCTACGATGGCTACTTTCAGCCCGAATGAGTAATAATAGGAGTAGTTGTACGGTGCTGACATACGGCATGTTGTACAGTTTGAGCTTCTTTCCCAAGGAAGGAACCACTGGGAGTTTGGGTAGAGATTCATTTAAGAAAGAAGGGTCTTAGTTTCTGAGTACACGATATGGAGGAAAATGGAAAACTTGTCACATTATGTTTGCTATCATTGTTGGAGTCGGTCCCACTTTGGCTGGACTTGGACCAATTGTTCGTGTTGGAAGCAAAGGGCTCTTTTGGAATGTACAGAGGTGGGTACGACTGTTGCGGTTTTGGGGTTTGGTCGTCGGGTCAGAGGATTGGTTGGTGTCGTTGTATACCTTTTCTATATTTAGTAGATTCTGTACAGATTGATTGTTGGTAGATGAAAGTAGAGATGTATAAATAGGGAATTTGATGATGAATTTTGTTGGTTAATCAAGCGATGACGTTTCGTATAAATGTAGTGGTTTCAGGCCACTAATAATAATTGAAACATGCGACGTGAACCAGCCTCGTCTGGTCCTTGGTTCGATCCGAACCATTCTTGAGATCAGGGTATAAGTGGCATATATCTTGTATTGTTTTTTTTTTTTGATTAACCTGGATATCCAACCCGCTATGCGAGCCGACTAATTCCAGGACGACCACCTGTTTTGCAGATGGCCTGGAGTTATCGCATTTGAACCTCCGAGGCCACAAGGGGATTTTTATTCCTCCTTAGATTTGAACCTGAGACTTCCAGTTACTTTTGACATTTGGAGCCAAGCTCAAACCAATCAGGCACCACTCTTGTGGTTTATATTCTATTGTTTCAAACTAATATTTTCGAATTGTACTAACTTTACTGGTTATAGCAATCGTTTTTTTTAAATCGTCTGTATTACACATGAATTGAAGCCATTAGTTTTGATTTTTTGAACTGTGTTGATCGCATCAGACCACTTATGATCTTTGTAATTTTATGAATTCTAGAAGGGTTTTTAATTTCTTTTCCTTCGATTTCCTCCCACATTTGCGAGGAACATTTTGGAAGGAGATTTATTATTATTTTCCTTTCCTCTCTCCTAAAAAGTTTCAAGAATATGAGTTTTTTTTTCCTTTGCCAAAACCAACATCTTATTCACACAGATTATGGAGCTGTTTGTTTCAAATGTTGGATGCTTATTGTTGCAGGTCTTTTTTTTCCAGTAAATTGCATGAAAAAATAATATGTTTTGGTTTGATTCCTATTTTGAATAATATACTTTTAAAACCTTTATTTTGATATCTAAGATATAGAATCTTAAACATTTAAGTACCTAAGTAACATGTTTAACCATTAACAGATTACTATCTTTACTTGCCAAATGATATGACATACAATTAATACTTTACTTGCACACGTGGCAAATAAAATAAACAATAACCTGGAGAATCTTAAATATCATTTTCCTCAACTCAAAACATAAACATAACCTAAAAGTTCTTAGAATAATGTGTTCTCAACTTAAAACAATAATAAAATACTATTGTATCTCAGAAAATACAAAATCATAAATCAAAAGCTTGAATCAACGATGGTTTCTTAAAAAACCCTAAAAGCAAGAACAAGAAGAAGAAGATCATAAATCTACGGATTAGATATGGCTTCTTCAAGTTCGATATCATGAGAGGTGAAGACTGTGAAACTCAAGCGTTCTTTATTAAGCACGCATGGTAGCCTCAAGATTTCAGATTATAATGTTGGAGCAGTTAACGAAGAAGGTGGACAATTAATGTCTTGGCAGTTTCCATGGCCGGAGTCGATGTCGGATGAGAAAGAGCTTAGGGATGAGAAAGGGTGTTGCGGCCGTAAATAAGAAAAGGGTTCAGTTAGATTTTTTGAACTTTGTTTGTTATTATAAAAGATTGCAAAATTTATAATTGTTTTAGAACGAAAATTGCAAATTTTACAAGTTTAAAAAAATAATAATTGCGTTATTTAAAAAAAAAAGTAATTACGTGAAGTCTCTTTTTTTAAATATTAAAAGCTCTAAGAATTAAAAAAATTCATGATAATATGACTTTTTTTGTCCAAATTAGAAAATATTACAAATATTATAATTTTTTAAGGATAATGATGTGGAATATATTGTTTACTTGATATTAATAAAATATAAAAAAATACTTCACAAACAAAAACTTAATACTGGTCAGCGTTTTCAGATTATTAGGTAAATCAGTACATAAATTTTTGAAATGTCACATCCCACAAATACAAAAACAAAAGTTTTAAAAATATGTTAGTAGGTTATCTTCTCATACATACAATTTGCCCTATACGTAAAAGGTAGGTTAGTTGATGCAAGGATCTGACCACAATCCTCATGTACTCCCCTTCAGTTATGAAGTTGAAATCACCACTGTTTTATTAAGTATATATATAATTAATATCTATCTATACATATATATATATATATATATATACACACACGATAAATACTCACACACACATTTCTCCCATGAGTGTTATTTACTTGAAGTGTTACTATGGTTTTATCATTGATTCATTCCAAAGCAATTTCAATTGGAAACCATTCCTGCAATCGAAATCTCTCAGGAGTTCCATTCACATCACTTGTATTACAGATTGATACATTTTTTTTTTCCAGAAAATTTGGTTCCATTTAAAAAAATTAAGTTTTTATAATTCAAGAAACATAATCTTTTTTTTATTAACTTGGATATCCAACCCGCTATGCGAACCGACTAATCCCAGGACGACCACTTGCTTTGCAGATAGCCCGGAGTCACCGCATTTGAACCTCCGTGGCAACAAGGGTATTTTTATTTCTCATTGGATTTGAACCTGAGACCTCCTGATACTTTTGACCTTTTGTGGCCAAGATCAAACCAACCTGAAACCTCCTGGTAGTTTTGATCTTTTTAGTAGATCAATATTCAACACTTTGACCTCAAGTGTTCATAACTAACTCTAAATAATTAGGAGGCATTGTTGTTTCATTTCATTTCATTCCATTCATGGATACAAATGGAGGGTGCCCCTGGTCAATATATAATGTATATAGAATGTGTTTTATGTCAGCTTATTTAACGTAATGTCAGTTAATATTACATTTACTGAAGTAGAAAGAGTTAGCTTGCAAAGTGTGTCAAGTTGTGGATTCTTTGTATTCAGACTTTATACAGGCTAAACAGAGTACATTTATTGACTACTCGTTGGCTGCTGGTGGTGGTGGTGGTGAATCTTCATCGGATGACTTCTTCTTTGCCCTACGCTCTTTCCATCTTCCCAACACCCACTTCAAGATGAAAAATCCTCCAATTGCATAAACCTGATTCCAAATACGACACATGTTAGTTACAACCTCTTGGTCTTTTGAATTTTGTAACTTTTGGCCACCTGAAATAAATAGATCCGCCCTATAAAGGCAAAGGCATTCAATAATATGTATGTACAGGGAGCTTCAAATATAAACCATACAAACCAATCTTAACCATCCATCTAACCTGATGAATATCAGGTTTAACAAATATTTCTATTGTTTCCTATATAAGCTTTGTATGGTTTGTATTTGAAACTTCCTCCCTCTCTCTCTCTCTCTCTCTACATATATATAAACACACACACACACATTTATATAGAGGGAGGTTCAGACCAAAACAAAAACTAAATAAGAGAACAAGAAAATGGCCAAATCATGTGCAAAATCACATGTTCCACAAAAGGGTGTGCAGGACGTGGCCTGTGACCTCAGGTCGTGGTCAAATTTGTGTGAATCACATGTGATTTTAAATGCAATTTTAATGTAGAATCACATGTGACTCAACCGATTTCTTGTTCTCTTATTTAGTTACTGTTCTCAAATGAATCTCTCTCTCTCTCTCTCTCTCTCTATATATATATATATGTATATATGTGTATATATATGTATGTATAGTGGGAGATTCAAATACGGCTGGTCTGCCCACCGTTTGGTTTGAGGGCCTACATCAACTAGGCCTCCCGCTGACTGAGGGAAGCGATCTGTCTTAAACAAGAAGATTATCTGGGTGAACAATGATATGGCATGTGAATGAGTGATATGGGGAAAACTAAATACCGTTAGAAGATAAGAAGGGAAAGTTTATATGTGAATTTTCTGTATTTCTTACATTTCTAGTTACCTCCCTGATACTGTCTATATTTACAGTGTCTGAATTGTAGATAGGCACCAAGAAATAATTAAAACGTATAACCAAGTAAGCATCTTTACAGATAACACATTTAATAGCTAAAAGAAATAAGGTGAGCCATGTACAAGCAGCTGGTTCCATCTATTTCATTCATCATCAAGGTAGTTGATTTCATAATTTTACATCAATCATGTTTTTACATAAACCCCAACCAAATCCTCAAGTCCTCTGATTAAAATAAACAAATATAAAAAACCTTAATTGGTCCAGCAATCTTGAATTACAAACAAATGGATATAGGAAGCAAACATATCATACGACCGAGAGTAACAGAAACGAAACGAAGCAAATCAATCACACAAATCCATTCATGAATGAAAAGATTATCTTTAACATCATTGATGCTGCTATAATCTTAAATTAAGATGCTAATAAATGCAATATGCAATGTTAAGAAACCTTGTGTCCAACTAAAGACAACATATGTAGACACACAGAAATTTGCATCCCTATCTGTTTCTCTATGCATATCAGAAGTGGTCATGGTTCAAGCACACAGAAGTCAGCCACACCCTACAGGCCTACACATCAAGTTACATAGTAAATTTATCTTGGAGAACCACTGTACCAGATTACATTATCTTAATTGGATATGATTACAATTTTTCAGGTCAAAATGCACAACCACTTCCCCCATCCCTCCGTTTCAAGAATAAGCAAAAAAACAAGGAAACAAAAATAAAAAAAACAAAGCCTTATGGTGCTAACACTGTAGCAGGACCTGCGATCCTCTTGCGTGGATGGGTGGATGGAGGGGACCATAAAGGGAACATCTCAGGTCAACCATACCAGACTCTGTTTTGTCCAGACTTGGACTCACGGACTCACGGTATGATAGAGAATGTATTCCATCCCTTCTAAGGCAACCTTAGTCCCCCTCCCAACAGATGTGGAATCGTACAATCGTACAATAACTTTGAGCAAAGCAAAAACCGTATCAAAAGAACCATCACCATCCACTCAATTCCAAAAATACACATGAATCTTTCAGCACAGTTTCTTTTTTATAGATTGTGGGAAAAAACTATCTATTCTTAGAGTTTCATGAAATTCGAAAAAAACTGCCAATCAATTGATGCCACTTTCATATAGAATCAAACAATTTCATTCATTCAAGCAACACTTAATAACTTAATTACGCAAATTACAATCACATAATTCCACCAATTCCATCTTCTACTCTTTCATTATGTGATTATTGCAGCATAGTCCTTTCATTTCCTCTGAATTACAGACCAGTTTATACACAAAACGTATGATAAAATTCAAGGAGTTTATATATACTAAAATAAAAAGTATATAACAAATAAGAGGTTGATTCCGGCGATCGGCCGGTATGAAATATTCCTACCTCGATATCGACGATGAATTCAAAAAATTGGGAGAAAAAAAGGTAAACTAGGTGTTTAGCGATCAGAAAACGATGATAAAGTATACATCTCCATACCTGCCAAAGAACAACAGGTTTGGTACCTTGCTCCACCTCCTCCGGTTCAAGCTTCAACGGAGCAACAGTCGTCGTCCGAGCTTCCGGAAACCTAACAGTCACCAGTTTCGACTCCTCCGCCACTTCACTACCGTGCAAAACCGCATCTCCAGATCCTTTGCTCACCCTCTCCACCTTCACTACATCTTTCTTCGCCGGTGGTGGTGGTGGTGATGGTGGAAAACGTAAGTTAAAAACCTGAGTGAACTTCGAGATGATCGAAAACAAAGGATTACGATGGCTACTAGATTCGTCCTCGGGTTTGCGAACCATCGAAACTTCTTTGTCCGCCATTGTTGTTGCAGTTTGAAGAAACGTTACGTCTGTGAAAACAGCGGAAATTAAGTAACGGAGATTTTTTAGAGGGAAGTTGGTGCCTTGGTGGCAACTGACTATGTGTAACGCGTGTACAACACGATACAGTGATGCGGGCCTAACTAGTTATCCGGGGCCCATTCTGTTAATTGGGCTTGGACCAAAACCAACCTAAAAGCCCAACCCAATAAAGTACTATCTTTTTTGTCAATGAGAAAGTCTAAAAAAATCCAATGAATTTCGGTGTTTGAAATAATTAAGTTTTTTGATAATTTTTTGAAACAATTAAGTCCTTAGACATTTTAAATATGTTAAATAATTTTTTGTACTTTCTAATACCTGTTAGATATATTCTTATACCTATAAACTGGTAAGTGTGGTAAAAATAATGGAAAAACCTAAGAAAAAGTCAATCAACTTTCATATTTTGAAAGAGTAAATCTCTAAATATTTTTTGAACCAAAAAAGTCTTTACATTTATAAAATGAAACAAATATACCAAAAAAACACTTACATTTACAAAATGTACTTATATTTAAAAAAAATATTGATGAAATTTATTTTAATTAAAAATAAAATATATTATGTATATGATTTTTCAAAATAAAAAAATAAAAAAGGATTACTGATAATTTATTTTTAAGTTATAAATAAAATTTATTTCGTTGGTGATTTTCCAAATTAAAAAAATAGTAGATAATTTGATTAACTTACCGACGGATTAACGATAAAATTTAACTAAACACATAATTAGTTAAAATTCGTCGCTAGTGTTCATTGGTATAGATGTATGGATTACTTATATCTAATTGACAGCTAACTTGACCATTGTCATGCTCTAACACAGTAACATGTTAATAAATGTGAAAGATCGTGCTTGAATCTTGTCGGTGATATCATTTCATCAACGGATTAACAACGAATTTTAATTAATTATATATTTAGTTAAATTTTATCGTTAATCCGTCAGTAATTTAATCAAATATTTTTTTTATTTGAAAAATCACCAATAGAATATATTTTATTTTTAATTAAAATAAATTTTCTTAGTAATTTATTTTAAATTTGTTTTTAAACTTGAAGAAGATATTTCATATCTTAAATAATTAAGTTTTAAAACATTTTTTTAATAAATAAATCTTTATATGTTATAACTTCAAAAAGAATCGAAAACTAATTATTGTTGTAAAAATATTATTACACGGCTTTTAACAATGTAGGGGTAATATGGTTATTTTAACAGTTTTGTCTTGTCTTGTCTTGTCCTAGTCGTACCAAACATAGGACAGACAATTAGTCCTGTCTCGTCCCGTTCCATCTTGTCATGTCCAGTCTAGTCTGTATACCAAACACTACCTTAAAATTGAATAATATTACAGAAAATTGGTGAAGTAGTTTTGGTTAACGAATTCTTTCATTTTTTGTCTAACTATTTTTTTAAATTATTTGATTTATTAATCAATAATGCAACAAACTAATCATTGCATTTTTTAGTAAATTAGTTAACATATACTTTTGCGTTGTGATGTATTGGTTAAGCCTCGATGATATGTAGTACAAAATATCATCTACTTTGGGTTTAAATCTAGATATTGTCAAAGCCCTTGTGGCCATGAGGTTCACCTGCGATTGAGGGTGCTCAAATTACCGACCAACTCGGCCAACCCAACCGAAAAAACCTAACAGAAACTCAAGCCTAGCCAACCCGACACATAGTTGATACAAAATTAGGACATACTGTATCTATGGGGTTGGAATTAGTTTATAGTAGTTTGAACCCAACACACCCGGATGATATGTTGGTCATGTTGATCAGGTTGAAACTTCGATACATTGTTTTACAAACTATTTAAACGTTTGGGTTTAAAAGAAGTAAAACAAAATGAGAACGTACACAAAAATAACTAAAAAACTTTAAAAAAAAAGTTGAAGGTTCATACAGATAAGAAAATAAAATTACGGTTGAAATTGTAATATAATTTTGAATTTACCTAATTACGTGTTGGCCTAATGTTTAATGTGTATATATTAATTAAAAACTTTCATATTAAATCCACAATATAGAAAGATATCGGGTTGGGTGAGTTCAAATTCCCTGACACAGTTCCAACCCAATTGATGCGGTTTTAGCCTATTTCACCAATATTCTGTAATATTCTTAATGAAAAAAATAAATAGATTGGATGTGGATTCTTTTTACTATAGAGTTAAGGGGTTGTTTTGTATGAATTAAAATTGTCTGCAAGGATTAATCTGTCTGCATATATATCCGAAACGTTTTTGTTTGAGATAGTTTTTCATAGATGGAAAAAACGTATTTTTTACTCGGAAGAACATGTTTGACAAAAACTAGACTTTCTACAAAAGTTTCTTTTAGAAGCTTATAGACTTTTTATATGTATATATATTTTTAATTAACCTGGATATCCAACCCGTTATACAAGCCGATTAATCTCATAGTGACCATCCACAGAGTCACTGTATTTGAACCTTCATGGCTACAATGGAATTTTTATTTCTCCTTAAATTTGAACCAAGACCTTCAGACACTTTTAACCTTTGAGGTCCAAGCTTAAACCAATCGGACACCATACTTATGGTTAACTTTCTGTATTATTAAGCCATAATCAAATAGTTATACGTAGAAGAATAGGTGAGAGAATAAACTATGAATGTCATTATATTTTTTTTATTAACCTGGATATCTAACTCGCTATGTGAGCTGACTAATCCCAAGACGACCACCTACTTTGCAGATAGTTCGGAGTCACCGCATTTGAACCTCCGTGGCTACAAATGAATATTTATTCCTCCTTAAATTTAAACCTAGAACCTCTTGATACTTTTAACTTTTGAAGTCAAACTCAAACCAATCAAGTCATTATTGTTAACAACATGGGGCAACTCGTTTAAGCTTAAACATAAACAATTTTGTGGGGACCACAATCACGGATAAGAACTTGTGTGGGGTGATACATGTCAACAGCGTCGTGCTGGATATTATTTGACTTCCAGCTTTTCTGTTTCAGAGCTAAAAATGTTAAAATCAAAGTAACAACGCTGTGATCTTTGTACCTTGTGCTGAAAATCTGTATTTTACTTTAGATTCGGCCATTTCAGACCTGAAAAATGCATCAGCTTTTATCTCCTGTTTCTGGTGATCTGGATATCAATCGATGACGGTCCTCCCTCCAGAAGCTCAATTCTGCATATCATCACACTCGTAATTTTTGAGTTTGAAATAGAGCTCAGTAGTAGTAGTAAATTTATTGCAGAAAATGCATTCGCATCACTTGCTTCTTGAAGAACCTATCCGAATGGCTTCGATTCTCGAGCCTTCTAAACCTGTAAGTGATCAAATTGTTACTACTTTTGAATTTATTCGATTGTGTATTCAATGATCATAATTATGATTGTTGTGACTGTGAGTTTCGAGTTAGAGAGATTAAGGTTTTGTTTCAAGTGATCAAAACATATCTATATCCAACTTATTTAAGTTTTAAGTATATTTCGCTAATCTTTTCCGTAACTGTCGTGAATCTCGAACTAGTGAGATTGTCAACAGATTTGTCACCTTTTTATGTGATAATTTCGGTCTCAGATGGTTTTGGAAATGTTAGCGATTGTTTTGTGTTTTTGTTTTGTTTTTGTGAATGTCAACTGGACGTCTGTTTGAATACTGCTGTCTAGAGCTTCTTTCCTGCCATGACGAAGATTGTTGGGACTCTAGGCCCGAGATCGCGATCGATTGAGACCATTTCGAGCTGCCTTATAGCTGGGATGTCAGGTGATTTTTACATTTTATTGTTTAATTCAGAATTTAGGATTAGTTCGGGTTATCAGATGTGCATTTTGACTTCATGGTCAAATGTGTCAAAAATTCTGAATTCTAATTTCGACAGGATTATATGTTTAATTTGAAGTATAAATGTTCTGTTGATACTTCGTTATTTGATTCAGATATCATAAATTTGACTCGGTAGCTCATCATTTGATAATACAACTTGAATTGTATCTTTGTTTTGGGAGAGGTTACTTGTTCTCGCTCACTGTTGTGTTTAACCTGTTTATAATGGGATAGCTTAACTAAAAATGCATTCATTAGTTTGACATTTTTCCATAACTAACTTGGTGATGTCTTGCTTGATGTACTGTGTAAAGTATGCTACAGTACTGTTCAATAAGCTATGTTGGAGGTGGAGCCATGATATTTGTCAAACCTATTACAGTGTTAAATAGAATCATATGGGTTTCACATATTCTCACATAACCTTCTTATCTATCTATCTCTCTCACTTGCTTTGTCTATATAGTGGCACGGTTTGATTTTTCATGGGGTGACACTCAATTTCATCAAGAGACTCTGGAAAATCTTAAGTTGGCTATCAAGAGTACGAAAAAGCTATGTGCTGTAAGTTTGTCTCTTGCACCCAGAAAGAAAAACCACTCTTGGAATATCACTTTCACTTAGTGAAGTGTAGAATTCCTTCTATATTACGCTTTTCAATTCATGATACAATGGTCAGATGTATCAGTTCATGTACATCCTTTTTTACCAGGTTATGTTGGATACTGTTGGTCCGGAGTTGCAAGTTGTCAACAAAACTGAGCGTCCTATTTCTCTGGAGGCAGAGACCTTGGTCGTCCTCACACCCAATCAAGAAAAGGAAGCCACTCCAAATCTGTTACCAATAAATTTTAGTGGGCTTGCAAAGGTGAATACATTGAGATTAATAGGATGATGCGGATTATGAGAACTGGAATTTAACATTTCTAAAAATTGTTCGTGATAAGTTGAAACGTCTTACTAGTCAAAAGGGGCCAATACCTGTTTATGAATCTTACAGTTTCTAAGTGACTAAGCCAACATGTGGACGTACATTGCTAGTAATTAACTTCATGTAAGATGGTAGAAATTGGCTGATCCAGAATATGTGTAAGTGCAACATAACATTTATGGATATGCTTGTTGATAAATGATAAGATAACAGGTCTGATTTGTCATGAAGGACCAACATCTGTTTACAAACCATATAGGTTCTTCTTAGCCAACATGTAGATGTACGTTGCAAGTAATTAACTTGGTATAGCTGGTAGAAAGAAAATATATCAACACATGATTTATCCTTGGCTTGATAAACAACATATACAAAATATACATTTACTCTGACCTATGAGAGAGGGGACAGTTACCTCCTGCACTTTGATCTCAAGTTAACCTCGAACTTTATCTTTGCAGGCAGTGAAGACTGGTGACACTATTTTCATCGGCCAATATTTGTTCACAGGAAGTGAAACAACTTCTGTGTGGTTGGAGGTAAGGCAGCACCAGAAGAATGTTCGACATACTCAGACCTATACACTGTTTGTGGTGACTTGACAAAAAAATTAGTTTTACAAAGTAGATATGTTTTTGTGCATGTGACGTCGGTGATTTTCTTGCATTTCCTTCCCTCTGCTCAACTCGATGTCTGAGCATGTATCTCAATTTCTTTAACTAGTAACTTGTGGCTCGGGTATGCTGTACCATCTGAAGTAAGCCTCTTTTAATAGAATTACACATTCGAGTTTGATGTTGTCCGACTCTAGTGGTAAATAAACATAGGATAAATGGATAGTGTTCATGAAGTTCTTGTTGACCTTCAAACAATATGTTACATTTCCTGGAGGATTGGGGACTTCCAGCACTAGAACTCTACAAATTTATAGCTTAGATGTTTGATAACCGTGGGTGGCTGAGCCGGCTTTGCACCTAACTAATCCATGGGCCTGAATCCAGTGGCCCACCCTGAGGGACTTGAACTGGTTATCTCTGGGAGCAAACTCAATGCCATGCCGGTTGAGCTACCCAAAGGAGTTATAATGTTAGATATTTGGCAATAAAAAATTTCTGCTTTCCTGATTCACAGGTAAATGAGGTGACAGGAGAGGATGTTGTTTGTCTGATAAAGAATTCTGCCACTCTATCTGGGTCCCTGTTCACCTTACATGTATCTCAAATCCGTATTGATCTGCCAACTCTCACTGACAAAGATAAGGAGGTGAACTTTCTTTTTTATTCCATTATGGTGAATATTGCGCAATTATGGTATTGATCAATATTGATTTCCTTTTGGGAGATTATCCAAAATAGCTATTTTTACATACCGTACATTATCAAAATGACCACTTTTCAAAGCTTTTTTACAAAATGACAAACAAAATTGCGGGGGCGATTTTGACTACAAGGTACGGATGAGTCCCACATGTATATCATTTTGGGGACAAAAGTCAGATATTATATATGAAAATGGGCAAATCGTCCTCAAAAAGTGAATTGCCCCATGGGGGGATTTTGACCTCTATTTCGTCTTCTAGTGAAGACAACTTATGACGGAACCGGGATCGGTTATGGAGGGACCGGTTTTTGCGTTGGTCAAGACCAGTAGGGACCGGTTACGGCCCGGCCCGGGACCGGTTTTTGGCCATCACTAGTGGGACCCATCCGTACCTTATTGTCAAAATCGTCCTTGGAGGGCATTTTGTGAAAAATCTCTAAAAATGGTCTTTTTGTTAGCGTACCGTGTATAAAATGGTATTTTGGGTAATTTCCCTTTCCTTTCCTTGTAGTATGACTGTAATTAGGACTTCCCTTATTTTAGGTAGCTAGATTGGTGGTTTGGATGAGGCCCTCCGTGTATATATTGTATCCATCCCCATTTGTATTTTTTGTAGAACAATATACAGAAGAAACCCTTCACAATCCCTATGTTCTGACTTCAATACGTTAGATGCTTATGGTCATAAAATCGTAATCATTAGTGTTTTCATTATGTGAGTTTTTGCTGCTTTACTGATCTGTGTCGGAAACACTACACATTTTCTCCTAAGCATATTCATCCCTCACCCAAGTATATTTTAGAATTTTATCGTGCATTGTTATATCCCCTGCTGGTGCCAAGGGCTCGGCTATCTTGGTTTATACTTCTCAGTTCTCAAACAAGACTTGGTATACCCTTATATCTTCCTTCATTCACACACACATAGCATGGCGTATCTCAATAGTAACTTTTACACCATATTGAATTACTACAACATTTATGTAAAATCAAATGTAGCATGTTGGAAGCTATTTCAAGCAATTATTGAGTATTCATTATATAACTGATGACCATTCAACTGTTTGGAAACAGATATCTTTGTAAGTCCATTAGCATATAGTTTCTATAAAAACTACTTACATATATATTCAAGTTCTATCTAACACTTGTGGCAAATTTAAGGTTATTAGCACATGGGGAGCACGAAACAGTATAGACTTCCTTTCCTTGTCATATACCCGTCATGCAGAAGACATTCGACATGTAAGCATTCTTCTTGATTTTAATTCTTCTATTATGTGTAAAATTTACTGTCGAAACTTTCATTTCTTCCATGTCTGACTTCAATATTGTATTGTATTATATTATCATATACGTATGTGTGTGTGTGAAAATTTATTTTGTCCTGTTGTCGTCTATCATACAGGCTCGTGAGTACCTCTCGAAATTGGGTGATCTCAATCAAACTCAGATTTTTGCGAAGATTGAAAATTTTGAGGTCAGATGCCAGATTTTTCAAGCTACAGGTGATTTAATAGTCTCTCCTGTTATGGCTGACACCCATGGATGTTGCTTTTTTTTCTTGCAGGGCTTAACCCATTTTGATGAGATCCTACAAGAAGCAGACGGTATAATCCTTTCTCGAGGGAATCTGGGGATAGATCTTCCCCCGGAAAAGGTTTGTTTTATAATTAAAGACCTTAGGTTGAAAGAGTGATAAATTAGAAGGCAGATTTGTTATACCCCAATGAGGATGTTGTGCACTAACTTATAAGGGTAGTGTGACTAACTTTATTACTACTGTAAGTGAAAATGATCCTAAATCCTAAATTTTACCGTTTCTGTTCTTTTAGGTGTTTTTGTTTCAAAAGGCAGCTGTTTACAAGTGTAACATGGCTGGAAAGCCTGCAGTAGTTACCCGTGTTGTAGACAGCATGACTGACAACTTAAGACCCACTCGAGCTGAGGCAACCGATGTTGCCAATGCCGTATTGGATGGTAAGTTTAATATCTCAAGGGTACATTTCGTATTTTGTGACACCATTAAGTCAAAATTAAAAACATTATTATTAGGCAAAATTGCCATTAATAAATGTATCATCTCATGAATTCCATATTCTTGCTCTGGTTCAGGTAGTGATGCAATTCTTCTAGGTGCTGAGACCTTGCGAGGATTATACCCTGTTGAGACTATCTCCGTTGTTGGTAAAATTTGTGCGGAGGTAACCTTTTTGTTGCTCATATAATTAGAAACTCTTTTTTGGCTATGCAATTCAGAACTTTTGTGATAACAGACAACAATGTGTATCTTGTGTTGTCCCCAGAGTTCTGTTGCTTTCTTGTAACGATGGAAATTTTATTTGTTCTACAGTTCTTTTTCCTCGGCATTTTGAAATAACGATATGCGATGCTAGTATGATGTGCTAGCCTACTTTCTTACACCTTTTTTATGGATCCAAATCCTTCTGTTGTTCATTGGATTTCATTGTTGATATTCGTTTGCAGGCAGAGAAGGTATTCAATCAAGATTTGTACTTCAAGAAGACTGTCAGATGTGTTGGAGAACCAATGTCCCACTTAGAATCAATTGCTTCCTCTGCGGTATTAATTGAAAATTTTGGGCTCAATTTTGGGTCTTTTGTGTTGCTGGTTTTTGTAGGTAACATTCGTGGTCTTTATTTTCTTGATGCAGGTGCGTGCTGCCATCAAGGTCAAGGCTTCTGTCATCATTTGCTTCACATCATCAGGGAGAGCTGCAAGGTCTGTATGTGTGTGTGTGTGTGTGTGTTACCTGCACGTGGGTGCGTAACATAGGTATTGGAAGAAGATCATTTTAGCTAAACCACCAATTGCATATAGTATAACTTTAATTCCAAACATGTCTCTGGAGAGATCATATAATTAGGGTTTTTTTACATCGAGCGGGCAAACCAAAAATCCAATTGGATTTCGGGTATGGAAACCAAGCCTCGAACTTTGGGTTTCGGATTTCGGATTGCTTCATTCGTTTTGATCGGGTTTCGGTTTGAGGATGGTTGGGTTCGAGTATAGTTATAATGATATATATATATATATATATATATATATATATATAGACCAAGGTTAGTCGATTGAAAGAACTAGGATTTAGGATTTTCAAAGATAATTAGATAAATAAACATATTTATATAATACAATATATATATATGTATATTTCGGGTTTTTGAACAGGTCGGGTGTCCAAAAATCAATCCCAACCGAAATCCAGATATCTCCCAAAAGTACGGTTTCGGATTTCGTGCAATCAATTTTTGCACAAACACCTTATTTTCGGTATTGAAAAGTGGGTCATACTTGTAATTGTTACAAGGCAAGAGAACAAAAAATACAGGGAAAAAGTGAATGGGGTGAGAGAGGCTCGAACTCTCGACCTCAGGATCACTCTTTAGCTATGAGACCTACGCGCTAGCCAACTGCGCCACCACCCCATTATGTTTAATTGCTTATTTTTGGAGATTAAATTGGTTTTGGGTTACGAGATGTGGGTTTTTTGGAAAAATCGTTGCTGGATAAATGAATCAAGATTCAACGAGCTGTCTTTTAATTGCTGTTTAGTCTAACGTTGGCTTTTTTCCTCAATTAATGTAAATGAACCTCTTTCATATTAATTTTGATCGCTAACATATTAGATCTTGTAACTATTGATGATGTAAATGTCAAGTTATAGTTTAATTTTTTATTTTTTTAAAATATCACATCAAAATCAATCGATAACATACAGGTTGTTTATTGGTTAAATAGGAACGACATAAGAAAAAATTGAACGTTTGTCACATTAATTAATAATTGTTACACTAATAGGAATACAATCATAACATAGCTTATCATTCGTTGAACCTTGGGAATAACCACTCCGCATTGAAAACAAAGAGAGACCGGTCCAGCTTTTCATGTTTTTTCAAGCATATACACTATTCGGCTCTAAAGCGACTACATGATATTGCAGGCTAATTGCAAAATATAGGCCCACGATGCCTGTGATATCTGTTGTGATTCCTCGGATGAAAACAAATCAACTCCGATGGACATTTACCGGTGCTTTTGAGGTATTCATTGAGCTCGATGCTTTCCCTTAGGTTTATCGAGACTATTACTTAATCTAGCTCGTATATTTCCTGTATTTTCTTTTTGACCTCGTGCTTCTACATCAGACCAACAAAAAGTAGGAGAGAATTTTAAAAGTAACAAACTTTTGTTTCCTCTACTCAAACTGACAAAATTTAGATACAACTATGAACCTTTTTGAATTTTGCTAACTAATAGTAGACAGACACTTCACTTAGCAATTTGGAAAAGGATCATTAATGCTTATGGACTTGAATATTTTTTTGGACCGGTATTAGTTTTTCTATGCAATTTTCGTGGACAACCGAAGAATGGCCCAAGCTGCTTAGACCTCATCTTATTTCTTCTACAGACTTTCTAGTTCTTGCCCGGTTTAGATTTATTCGGGTAGAAGAAAGTCCAATTGCAAACTTGTTTTAGTTGTGTACTGAGGGACAAAGGGAGTGCGACAGATTTCCTTATTTGTCTCTATTCATCATGTATAATGAACGTGAATATTCATGATGAATATCTGGGACACGTGGTGTATTCTTCATTGTCCCTTCAAAGGTGTTGCGAAATAAAATCGTTTAGGATCATATCAATGCATTGGAAATATAAAAGATTAGTTTCATTTTGTCACGTGTGTGAGAGATTTATATGGGGGTTTGTTACCCTTCTTACTTTATGATTCAATGATGATATGTGCAGGCAAGGCAATCTCTTATCGTTAGGGGCCTCTTTCCAATGCTTGCGGATCCTCGACATTCTGTGAGATTCTCCTTGCTTTTCCAAAGCCTTTTTATTCCATACCGCCATCCTGTCACATGCACAATTCACTTGATTTTCTAGGCATTTTCAGGACCGTCTATTAGCATGTTAAATCTTGTTTTTTGAACAGGGCCCCCAAAATTTCGGGAACCAATTTTACTTGTGTTGGGGCCCGGATTTATATAGCCCAACATGTCAACTCACCTTAATGAAACCTATCTAATTTCTTTCAAAATCAAAAGCAGCTATTTAATTTCAGAATTTATTGATCAAAAACAAAAACGACTTTAATATTATTCACACTTTGTCATTCTAAACCTTTTCGTTGTTTTACTTTGTATACTTTTTTAAATGATATGATGTTTTATATTTTATTTTATTTGTTACTTATTCATACGATTTATGGTTTAGTATCGATATAACAGGTTCTCTAAAAAGATTGGGACGGCTTATGGGCATTTTGCACATGAAAATATATTGAATATTTGCATTATTCCATCCCCATGATGTTGTAGGACAAGCAGATCAGTCTCCCACTCGTATTTGAGTTTTGACCATGTTTAGTAACCATAAGTAACTTTTTAGTTGCGAAATAGGTGGTTGTCCTGAGATTAGTCGGCTCGTAGTTGACTTTTTTTGAGGTTATATAAAAAGTTGAGTTTAGTTGGCTATAAATTAGTTTTTTGAAGCACTACTTGTTATGGGGGTTTTCTATTTTTTTCCAATTATATCCCTTGTAATTTTCAATTAATTTTTGCAATATGTCCTTTTAGGTTATTTCAAATACTTAAAAAAACTAATTTATCAACTACTTTGTTGAACATAACCTTTGTAGAAGAAGCCACCCAGTCTCCCACTCTGCTTTTGAGTATTTGGCCATGTTTATAACTTATTTTTTGAGCTAATAAAGAACTCTTCGACTAATTATAGCTATAAATTAGCTACAAGTTAGTTTTTTCTGAAATGCTACTTCGAGTAGAGTTTCAATAAGTTCTAGTGGTTTTTCCACATTTTTCCGATTATGCCTCCTATAGTTTCTAATTAACTTTTTCAAAATATTCATTTAGGTCATTTTATATAATCATCTAGTTTATCAACTAGTTTTTACCAAATATGACTAACTTATTAGATGTAGTATTTGCATCATGGAGAATCTGGTCTGTTTGCCGTATCATGCCCAACAGTCGTTGTAGTCTAACATTTTCTCCAATTAGATGGGTACATAATCAGTGACATGGTTTCCTATTTTGCGTATATTGTCTATCTGGGGCCGGGGCAGGCCGACTCAACAAGTGCAACAAATGAGTCGATCTTAAAGATTGCATTGGATCATGGAAAAGCTAGTGACATCGTGAAGTCACATGACCGTGTTGTCGTTTGCCAGAAGGTCGGCGACGATTCTGTTGTGAAGATCATCGAGCTTGAAGACTAGATCAGCTATGTATTTCTGATTCTGGGCCATGCTCACTTCTCCACTTAGGCTATGAACGATATGCATGGTTGTATAATAATGCTGAGTTCTTTTACTAACCCGTGATATTGCCACAAGTTTCTATTTCATCACTTCAATTAATAAAATTGAATACCCTTTCTTTGCTTATATAGCCATTTGATGCAAGAAACAGGCAGTTCTACTATTAGTTGAGAAATTATCTTCTACTATGATTACGCAATGGTTATGTACCTTGGCTAGAAGAACAACTTTTACAAGTCGAAGGTCTTCATGGAGACTTCTCCTCGGGGTAGAGGTAAGTCTACCTTTTGATTTTGTAATCCAGATTTGTTGCTAGTCGGTTACTCCTAGTCTTTAGCTGGCTGTTACTTGTTAGCAGTGGCATGAAAGTAGGGGTCTTAAAAGGCCGTTTACCAAATGTTTATCGGGTAACATTTCCACCATCAAAATGATTGTTGGTAAGTGTTGTTTACCCGGTAAGCGCTAACTAAGTAAGAGTCTTCTCCCTCCCTTACCAGGTAAGAGTTCTCCTTCATTTACCAGGTAAAAAAAATTCGGTCCTTACCGAGTAAGATTTTTGGTCCTTGTCATACTTACCCAATAAGATAACTGACACACTGTAAGCGCTTACCAGATAAGTGTTTAAAAACGGCCTCTTATCTTGGTATAAATAAGCATTTTGTAACCTGCTATGAGGCAGAGAGTTCATTACTATTTGGTTCTTCATTTGCTTCAATAAACACTTCTTAAAACCAGAATGAAATCACAGAACTACCTAATCATTCATGTTGAAATCCAATTCATCCATCCCTTTTCCTCCAAAGGACTATGGGTAATAAGAGATCCAGAAACAAGACATAGTAACATAACAGCATGATCAAAAACAGAGCAAGCAACAACAAAATGCTACAAAAACAAAACCCTAAACCCCCAGTTCTAACCATGTTTTGCTTGGAAATCCTTCATGAAAGCAACCAGCTTCTCAACACCAGCCAAAGGCATAGCATTGTATATCGAAGCTCGCATTCCACCAACCGATCGATGCCCCTTCAGTTGAACCATCTTCTCTTTAGCAGCTTCTTTCACAAACTCAGCTTCCAATTCCGATTTCTCAAGCGTAAAAGGCACATTCATCAACGATCTCACCGATTTCTCAACCGGGCATCGATAAAACCCTTTACTCTCATCAATTGCATCATACAGAATCTGWGCCTTCTTCACATTCTTCTTCTCAATCTCCACCAAACCACCCTGTGCCAACAAATCCTCAAACACCAATCCACACATGTAAATCCCATAACATGGTGGTGTGTTGTATAACGAATTGTTATCTGCGTGGATCTTGTAATCCAACATCACAGGTGTGATCTCTTGAGCATTTCCGATCAAATCTTTCCTAATGATCACAATCGTAACCCCAGATGGGCCAACGTTCTTCTGTGCTCCGGCATAAATGATGCCAAATTTCGAAACATCCACCGGTTTCGAACAGAAATTCGAAGACATGTCTGCAATCAGCAGTGAATCTTTGTTCTTAGGTGTTGGGTAATCTTTGAACTCAACACCATGGATAGTTTCATTGGCGCATATATGCAAATACCTGGCGTTCGGATTCTGATCCAACCCATCAAACGCCGGGATCCCGGTGTACTTCTCCGATTTACCGGACCAGATCACTTTAGGTTTGCAGTATTTCGATGCTTCCTTGAATGCCTTGTCGCCCCACGATCCGGTCACGATGTAATCAACCGAATCATCCGGTTTGCAGATGTTGAGAGGGATCCCGGCGAATTGGGTGGTGGCGCCTCCTTGAAGGAAGAGGACGGCGTAATCTTCAGAGATGTCGAGTAACTTCCTCAGATCTGATTCTGCTTTTTGGATGATGGAAAGAAATTCCTTCCCTCTGTGACTCATCTCCATCACACTCATCCCAGCCCCACGCCAATTGTATAGCTCCGATTCAGCTTTTAGAAGAACATTTTCCGGCAGTGTGGCGGGTCCAGCAGCGAAATTAAAAACGCGATCTTGGGCGGAGGCGGAGGTTGGTGGTGCAACAACAGTGGCGGAGTAAGAACATTTGATTGAGATGGGTTTGGCGGTGGCGCGTGCGATCGGGAAGACATGGATGCCGGGGGTGGTTGAGGTTGAGGTTTTCAAGATGCTAGGGTTTTTGAGGAGAAGGGTGTGAGGGGCATTGGCTGACATTGCCATTGCTACCTTTGATATATTGGAAGGTCAGATGCAAAGTTCAAGGGTGGGTTTGCATATGTATATGTAGGGGGTGGCCAAAGAACGGACAAAATAGCAACAATATTAAATGCGTAAATTATTTTAATAAATATTTAAATTGTAAATCAAATTAAATATGGAAACCCCATTTCCATACATTTCCGTATACATGTTTTTAAAAATAAATGTCTATTTTTTAATTTCATTCTTAATTATAAGAATAAAATAATTCATTATATTAAAAGTAAACCTATTATTTTATTAAAAGTAGAATATAATAATTACATATTTTTAATTATGAAATTCTATTTAACCGCAAAAAATTGTATTTTTTATAAAGTTCTATTTATGGAATTCTATTTCACAAAAATAATTTAATTTTGAGATTTATGTATTTTTAATACAATTTTTTTTAAAATTTAAAGAATTTTATGTTTTGATAACTGAATCTATTAATTTAACATATTTTGAAATTTTAATTGCTAACAATTTAAGTAATTGCTATTTCCAGGTAATAAATTTGGTTGGTGGTGGCTCTGGAATAAGTAAAAGCAGAGGTGGTGTGTTGTTTTTGGTGGGGTAGGTGAGAATTTTAAGGTTCCCAAAATACCCTTGGGATTTTTCATAATTTCCGGCTATGCCACCCATACCTTTTGAATTTGACTTCAAGAAACCACGGACTATCGCAGGAGGTTCCAAGCAGCTCGTTTTAGCGTAACCAACCTAAATACCCAATCTCACATGTAAACTAACATAAAGTATATATAATAAAAAAAGTTATTATTATTTAAATTTTTAACCATAAGGATGGTGTTTGATTGATTTGAGCTTGACTCCAAAACTCAAAAATATAGGAAGTCTCAGTTCAAATCCAAGGAGGAATAAAAATCCTCTTGTGGCCATGGAGGTTCAAATGTGGTGACTCCAAACTATTTGCAAAGCATGTCCTGAGATTAGTCGACTCGCATAATGGGTTGGATATCCATGTTAATAAAATAATAATAATAATAATCAATCATATCTTACAATTGTTACCGTTGTTCAATCTATGGGAAACAAATCCTAATTTCTAACCACTTGGAATAAGACGTATTGCATTACCGGTTAAGTTTTAGGGAATGCAGTGGAAAACCTCATCTACACTCATGTTCGAATCCATGTGTTATCAAGCGTTTGTGGTCATGGTGGTTCACCTGTAATAACTCCACATCATTCGTGATTGCCTGGAAATTAATCGACATACCTAAGTGACTCAAAAAACTCACAGTTACAAAAAGAACTCCTTATTCTTAACGATGGGTATTCATGCTACTATGTTGCAATTAAACGATAGAAAATTAAACCTTCCTTTAAGATTCGAACTCGTGCCTCACTCATGTTTAAATAACCATAACTCAAATTTTCAATTCAATACTTACTGGTAGATTTTACAACTCAATTAGACATCAAATGGTTTCGGATTGAGTTATTTTAAGTTGGAGTGGATAGTCAGGTTGGTCGGATTGTTGTGTACCCTTAATATATATATATATATATATATATATATATATATATATAAGGCTCGATCCCGTGTATTACACGGGGTAATTTTGAAAAAATTAAATCATGTCAGGAACTTATCTTACAGATATGAATGATCATCGAAAGTACGATACTACTTCAGACTTGTACTCTTGAAATAACTCTGAAGTATAACTCTAAAGAATAACTCTAAAAAATGACTCTTCAGACTTAAATTTAGAAATGAAAGTATATCAATAATTAGTTTAAATGAAGTTAACCTTGGAATAAAATTAAATGTGTTATTTTGAACAAATAAAGACATATTTTTGGCAAAAAAAAAAAGCCTTTTATAGCCGGCATGTTAACCAACAAAACCCGTCTTACAGAACTCCTTGACAACATCAGCAAGTGATAGCTGAAAGTTGTCACGATAAGCTGTCAGCGATAAGTTTAAAGTTGAAAGTTGTCTCTTCAGTGATAGCTGAAAGCTGTCACAATAAGCTGAAAACACAAGATGAAGATTGTCAGCAATAACCTGTCAAATTAGCTGAAGGCTGTCAGTAATAAGCTGTCAGCGATAAGCTGAAAGCTGCCTCTTCAGTGATAGCTGAAAGCTGTCACGATAAGCTGAAAACACAAGCTGAAGGCTGTCATCAATAAGTTGTCAAATTAGCTGAAGGATGTCATCAATAAGCTGTCAGATTAGCCGAAGTCTGTCAGTGATAAGCTGTAAGCGATAGTTGAAGACTTTCAGCGATAGTTTATCTTAAGATTATTTTGCATGCTACTAACCCATTATGCACAAAGATATAAACATGACAATCTTCATCGATTTTTAAATTAAAACAAATCTGTTTGACTCTTGAAAGTAAAAAAAAAAAACACTAATTGTAGGACGGAGATGATAAAGAATGTAAAAACTGCATGCCTTAATGATTTGAAGAGCTAGAAAAGCAACTCATACGACTATTAGAGCCATAAGCATCTTCCAGCGTAAGTTGAACCGAAAATTTTGCTGCAAATTTCAATAGAAAAAAGATTTAGATGTGAATAAAATAACTTAACTGAAAAGGAAAAACACTATAGTTATGAATGGTCACCTTTGGTGTCTTCTCCTCTTTAAGAATCAGTGGCTCTATGTCAATCAGCACTAAGAACAAAAAAAAAACATACAAACAAAGGAGAAGTTAACAAAACGATTCCAAATTTGGAAACTTGCACTTTAAATGCTTATTAACTTGTACTACATTGTAACTATGGAAATTAATATGAACTAAATTCCGTTTAGTAGGGAAATCGGCTAAACCACGATAAAAAAAGATATAATTTCAGAGGGACATATGTCAACCAAATAGACCTCTTTGAACCACTAATGTAAATAGCGTCTACATACATTTTTAGGCGGGAAATCAATATAATCGTCTCACCAGAAACGAACACGTGACACCCAAGTTACTTATTTATTAATATAAATAGTGTCTACATACATGTTTATAGTGACTACATACATGTTTAATCATGGATATTATCATCTTCATTATATTAATTTCGGAGAACTACATGAAGTAGTTTTATTAAAATTTCATAAGTATTATATGAAACAATTTCATAACCATATATGAAACAAGTTTATCCAAAAAAAAATTATATGAAATAATTTCATAAGATTAAACAGTTTCATGAAAAAATTTCATAAGATTAAACAATGAAATCGACGGATGACAATGATTTGCACAGTTTGTATAAATATGAGTGGTTTGCATTTGCTCGCTCATTCATATATATATATATATATATATATATATATATATATAAAAACTAATCTATTTCATGATTCAATTAATAATTCAACAATCAAAAAACTCATAATCATCACAGGTAGAAAACATGTCACAAGTAAACAATCATCAATTTGGAGCTGGACTATGTAGGAGGAGTAAATTAAAAGGTACCTAATTGAGACATTTGTGAATAACACATAGTAGTAACAACAAAATTTATAAATCGAAGGAGGAATAAAATTCCTTTGTGGCCACGGAGGTTCAAATGCGGTGACTCTGGGCTATCTGCAAAGCAGGTGGTCGTCCTAAGATTAGTCAGCTCACGTAACGGGTTGGATATCCAGGTTAATAAAAAAATTATAAATCGAATTTGTAAACAACTAATAAATACAAAAATATTATTAAAAATATATAAATGTTGGAGATAAAAAAAAATATACTCATGATATTCTATTTGATGTTAAAATTGGAGTAATGGTTGAAGATAGACCTCTTTATGCGCTAAATTTTATACTGTTTTGATGCAAAAAAAATATTCCAAATGATTGAATATTTTCTAGGAGGGTACCGATTGGACCGATTTGGAACCATTAGTCCATTAGACTCGGAACATACACGACCAATTGGTCTGGATAATTATGTAAATCTTCTAGAGGACCATTTACAAAACAAGTACGGTTATTTATTTAATTTCTATTTTTTTAAAATGTGGTATAAAATATTAATTTTGAGTATAAGAAAATTAAAGGGTGAATCTTATATTTGAAATTGGTTTCTCGTGTCTTATAAAATGACTGATCGACATTTTATGCGAGAATGTAATACATGTTATAATAAACTTGGTATCACGAGGATACGTTTGGTACGCAACCAAAATTAGAGGTCTGAACAGGACTTAGGTCGCGTTTGGTACATGGGACTAGGGCTGTAAACGAACCGAACGAACACGAACGGAG